AGCCCCAGGAGGACATTCAAAAACCATGGAGAACCCTAGCCGCACTGCTCCAGATGCTACCCTGAGGTTTAAACTGCACGTTCCAAACCTCAGGCCTAACACTTCCCCGCAGACACCCACTTCACAGATACATTCTGTCCTCACCATCCCTCATGCCCGATCCCCCCATCCCACTTAAGAAGGTCCCTGCATGACTGGTGCCTCCGCTGCCCAGCGCCCATTTTTCCAAAGCTCACACCCACGACAGACTCTTCCTGCAGCTCAGCACTGCAGTGCCCAGCCACTCCCAGGACACCCTCCGCCCTCTGAGTCAGCTCCAACCTCCCACTCCTGCAGACCCCTGGCCAAGACTGGGGCCAAAGCAGCAGCTGGGGTTACCTCCTTATTGCCCACAGTGGGGACTGAGCTCGAATCACCCGGGCTCTAGGCACCACAGCCAACGGCAAGTGAGAGCCGACTGTTCTAGGCAGAATTCTGTCTCCTGGCAACTTGGAGACAGGGAATTGGCATTCTGGGATGTGAGTGCCTTGGCCAATGGGAAACATGAGCCACCTATTAGTAAGCAAAACCAGTCTTTTACGTAATGCATATAGAAACCACTAGCTGAGCTGTTATGAAGTGGAAAAAAATACTTTCTGTAGGCCAAATTTAAATTTTCCATTTGTCTTCCAAAGCAAAGAGGTGTACTTACATGTGACCTGGAACAAGCACTTTAAATTTTAAATCTAGATCCCAGTTCCTCCAGGTTTTCAATGTTCTCCAGCCTCACTCACACGCCGTGGGTGATTCTGGCCATACCTGTGCCTAAGACTCCCACCGTTCAGGCGTTTGCTTATACTTAAAGAGCCCTGACAACCCAGTGGATATGCCAAGGCTTTGTCACTGCAGACAAGGAGGGCAAGTAGCAGTTAATTCAGGGTGCTCTATAGAAAACTCATTGGAAATAATAACAGGCAGAAGAACTATGCCCAGGAAGAACTCTGACTGTCCTTACTGACACATGGAACTATCACAAGCCTAGGAAGTTTTTGAAGACATTGAGTTCAGCCTATTCAAGTTCTTATGAATATCCTTGACAGGCAGAAAGAGAGTAGCTAAACAAAGCTTTTCAAACTGAAAGTGGGTGAGGAGCCTGGAGGGCCCCTTCTTCCTGTTACCCATAACCCAGCTTCATGATGGTAGTTTGCTATAAGAATCTGTTTGTAAAATGGTTTCCACTGTCTGCTTAAAAATGTTAGAAAATTTGATTTACATAAATCTGTATTAGAAGGTCCACAAGTGGTGCAAATGGTTTGCACTGGACTGCTAACCTAAAGGATGGCGGTTCAAACCCACCCAGCACTACCACAGAAAATACGCCTGGCAATCTGCTTCTGTAAAATTACAGCCAAGAAAACCCTAGGGAGCAGTTCTACTCTGAACACATGGGGTTGCCATGAGTCAGAGATCGACTCTACAGCAGCAACAAGAAATCTGTGTTGTAGACAACAGCTATCAATTCAGTACACAAGCCACTGGGCCGAATACAGTCATCAGGAAGCTTCTCTGCAGAGCTCACATGAGCTCTTCAAACCTTTGCACACAAAATTTATGGCTATATATCTGAGGCAGCCCAAGGTGGCAAACGATGATCTCAGAAATAACCTGATGTATTTCCCCAGAGGGACTCCCATGCCACTAAACTATCAAAAGATACCCTCCCCAAGCTGCGCGTAAGAGAATCCAAGAAAGAACTGGGGAAGCCCTCACTGTTGACAGGCACAACTACACTGGGAGCTGCAGAACCTGAGAAGAAAAGACCACGAAGATATGCAGTGAGTTTCAAGATGATTATCATTGGTAGTGAGGCCGAAATAGCATTTGCTGTAAGAGAATATATTCAGGAAGCAAATTTAAAACCCTAAGGAAAGTTATAGGGAAGATGAGACAAAAAAGAACGCAAAAGATTAAATTCAGTGTTAGATTGATGATGAGGAGGTACATCCTGAGTGGAATACTCTTCTTGCTCCTGGAGGTGAGCAGGATTTGCCCGTACAATGGAAGTTTTCAGAAGACCCCAGACTTTTATCTGGGTATTCACCCTCCCCTCCTATGATGGTTAAGATTGTTTGTCAACTTGGCTGGGCCACGATTCTCAGTGTTCTGGCAATTGCATAATGTTGTGATCACTACCGTGTTTAAGATTTGATATGTGATCACCCCCATGATGGGATCTGCTGTGAGCAGCCAATCAGTTGAAAGGGAGTTTCCTTGGGCGTGTGGCCTGCATCCAAATATAACCGGACATTCTGGCAAGGCTCAGGGGCTTTTTGCTCACGCTGGATCCTGCAGCTGTCTCCTGTCTGACCTATGGTTCTTGGGACTTGAGTTAGCAGCTTACCTGCGGTCTTGCCTGCCAATCTTGGGAGATTCACTGATCTTCACAGCCTGTGAGCAAGAGCCTGCTCTCTGTCCTGCCAATCTTGGGTTCACCAGCCCCTGGGGCTATGTGAATGAGCAGAAGCTTCTATCCTGACCCATGGACTTGGGACATTCCAGACTCTACAACCTTGTAAGCCATTTCCTTGATATAAATCTCTCTCTCTATATATATATTTATACACTTCACTGGTTTTGCTTCTCTAGAGAACCCAGACTAAGACACCTCCTAAGCCACATTCCCAAGGATGGCTACACTATTTGTAGCCCAAGACAGAACTTGATTAATCTAAGCCTATCAAGCCAGTCCTATTTACCCTGCTGGGACTGAGTTAAGACAGGCATGTACCATAATTCTGGTCAATGAAAAGTCGGGGAGGGGGAAGAGGGGTTCTGAGAGAGGTTTCCCGCTAATAAAGAAGACACCTAGGAGGAAATTATCCCTCTTCTACTACTGAAAGCATGCCAGTCATCTTTTAGCCATGAGGGGAAGCAGCCCAAAGGATAAGCCAACACACTGAGGATAGCAGAGCAGAAAAATAGAACTTCAGGACTACCTCAGGACTTCTTGTTATACAAGATAAAAATTCTCTATTTGGTTAAAGTCCTTTAGAGTTAGGTTTCATGTTACACTTAAATACACCTTTATTGATATAGGCAAGTGGGTATTATGATCCAGCAAATAGCATTAGACCAAAAGCAAGAGAAACAAAAGCAAGAATAGAACAACTCAAGCAGCAGCTTGAACTTTTCAAACTCAACTGCATCTGCACAAGACAACATAGAGGGCAGGAACTTACAAGGCCAAGTAAAAACTGGCAGCCTACAACCATAGTGGAAATAAAGACATTCACTGCTGTGCACAGACTGCTAAGTATACACATCTTGCTGGAGCTCAGACATTACTGGCCCAGTGATGCCCTCTTGGTGTTACTTTGGTGGCAGATGTTATGACTAAAACATGATTCAAGATGATGATGCCTGTGATGAAAGCAAAGAAAACGAAGGTTAAAAGGAACAGTAGAAGGTGAATACCAAACGCATAAGCCACTGCTGAAAGGGAAGAAGGGACAGAAAGGGAAGTTTCTGCCACTACTGAAGTTGTACAAGTTACTGAAGGCCTAGAACTAAAGCTGGACTACAAAGTGGGGGTGGGGGAAGAGGAATGGTGAGGAAGGCCCAGCACATGAGTTAAAACAAGTAAGAAATGATGTCTCCCAGAGCACAAGAAGGAAACCAGTGCCAGACTCATGAAGTCTGGAAGACAAAAACTTTAAGAATAAGAATCTGGCAGTCCAAGAGTTATCCTGACTTCAGGACTTGAACAGCTGGTCTTTGGGCAAATGAGCCATAGCTCAATGCCACTACCCACTAAGATCATCTAACTCATTTTCCTTGCATTAGATACTTCTGGTAATTTGTTTTCCCGCATATATCTCCCAGGAGGAGAGATGAACTGATCAGAGAAATTATGTAAGCAGATATTTGGAAGTTACTGGTTAATAATGAGCACTGTAGGTTGGTGTGTATTTTGGCTTAAACACGTCTTTTGAGAGCCGAGTATAATGAATCAGACCCCTTTGCACATGATTTAACAAAATTAGAATTTTTAGCCCATAGAACAAAAAACAAAACCACAGGCTGTGTTAACTTTACTAAGGTATAGACACCCTAGGTGACATCTACATTTCATCTCTAAAGCAATAATTTCCAACTACCCTCGAGCGTCACATCAGCATGGAAGGGAACACATTTTAAACAAATGGCCACCATCAACCCCTTCCAACTCTCATATTATCGTAGTGAGTTAGTTACTACTGGGTGTGTGTTGTATCCCTCCAACACGCTAAGGAGGAGGAAAAGATTAAGTACTTTAAGCTGGGTCCCTCAGAAGTGGACCCTAAGGAAATAATCTGAGTGCAACTAATGACTCCAGCATGCAACAGTAGGGAAGGGGGGATGTGAAACGAGAAGGAAGCCAACGCAGGGTGCACTCTTAAGCAGATTACCACTATGGGCAACTATACTTAATCTTGCTGGGGATCTCTAAAAGATGGCATGGAAACCATTATCCAGTCAAGGTATGTTGTTGTTGTTAGGTGATGTTGAGTTGGTTCCAACTCTTAGCCATCCTATGTACAAAAGAACGAAACACTGCCCAGTCCTGTGCCATCCTCACAATCATTATTATGCTTGAGCCCACTGTTGCAGCCATTTTGTCAATCCATGTCATTGAGGGTCTTCCTCTTTTTCGCTGACCCTCTACTCTACTAAGCATGATATCCTTCTCCAGGGACTGGTACCTTCTGATAACATATCCAAAGTAAGTGAGACTAAGTCTCGCCATCCTTGCTTCTAATGAGCATTCGGGTTGTATGTCTTCCAAGACAGATTTGTTCGTTCTTCTGGCAGTCAATGGTATATTCAATATTCTTCGCCATAACTCAAAGGCATCAATTCTTCTTTGGTCTTCCTGATTCACTGTCCAGCTTTCACATGCGTATGAGGCGACTGAAAACACCATGGCTTGGGTCAGGCACACCTTAGTCCTTGAAGTGACATCTTTGCTTTTTAACACTTTAAAGAGATCTTTTGCAGCAGATTTGCCCAATGCAAATACGTTGTTTGCTTTCTTGACTGCTGCTTCCATGGGCACTGATTGTGGATTCAAGTAAAATGGAATCCTTGACAACTTCAACTCAAGGTATACAACTTTCAAATATCTGGATGAGTAATTACTCTGGTCAGCAAAGAAGTCGGGTATGTATCCTCTAATCCCCACTGGCCATTAGCTGAAGGCTGCTCCCAGGAGCATTAACTCCCTAGCACTTCAAACAGAGAGAGAGCCTCAAGCAGATGCTTGCAACAGGACTCCCTTTGGTGGCATGTGCTGGAACGGTGAGTACCCAGGGAATATGGGTGGGACACTGACACCTTCTGTTATATGCCTGCTGGTTCCTGATTAGCTTCTCTCCCCTTTGGCTCAAAGTTCACCTTCTTTTGCCACTTCTCACAGTCCCTGAGCCAGATCTTCTCTATTCTCTATCCAGAGGAACTAGCATTTTCCAACTGGTCTGTTAGTACTCAAATGGAACTACTTTATCAGTTCTAATTAACAACGGCACAGAATGTTAGTTCCTTTATGGTTTTTATACCTAAAAGATTTTGTGTATTCTGAAAATAAAACACTTGTTGAAGACACAAAGTTATATTTATTTTCAATAATGAAAGCAACACAACAAATGGAAATCAATCTAATTTTTAAATTAACACAGTTCTTAGCACAAAACTATCCTCAATAAATAAGAACACATTACTATTAATGGAATAGATTGTTAATGAGACTCTAAGGTTGTGTGTGTGTGTGTGTGTGCGCGCGCGCGCGTGCGTGTGCGTGTGTGTGTCTGTGTCTGTGTCTGAGTGGCAGTTAAAGAAACACATGCTAGAGACTTGACTAACAAGGGCTCAAAAACAGCCAAGGAACAGGGTCCACAAATACTAAGTTAGCAAAGACAATATGGGATTTTCAAAACAGTCTAAAAATCAGAGCTCACTGCGGGATGTACCAAGAGATGCAAGGGTTTGGGACTGTCCGTGTTCAAGGCCTTGTAATTATATCTTTCTATATGTCTAGATTCTTGATTTGGAATCTATCACAATCTAGAGCAGCTTCTGCCAAGGAATAGGAAGTTCCTTACTCTTGCCTAAAGAGACCTATAACTCCTAATTTTCCTCCTTTGACTTTGTCACTAGCTCCTGTCACCAATACAGCAGAGGTTCCATTCCAGCAAAGGATTACTATTTAGTAGACCAACCTGTCTCTGACTTAGATTTTCCTTTCAGAAACATACTGACACATGCCTGGGACAGCTCTAAATATATCCAATTTCTTTGACTATTGACACTCCTACAAGCTCTGCTTGGCTACAAAATCTAGGACTCATAGAGCAATGGCAGTATTGGTCAAAAGGCAACCTCCTTTTGATCTGTTATTTCCAATGTACAAACTCTCCAAAGTTCAATAATCACAATTTTTTTGTTTTTATTTTTACTCCTCACCTGCCACACCTTCTTTCTTTTCTCATTATTACTTCTTTCGGAATTCAATCCTCCTAGCTACATTCTGAGCACCAAACTTTTTAACCAATGCATTTCGAGCACCTTCGTCATCTTTTTGCAAATCTAAGTCATCTTGTCGGGACCAAATGGGGTATCCATCAGCCCTCTGACCAGACTCTAAAAAGGAGGAAGTAGCCTCCAGCTCACCACTATTTTTAAGGAAGGCCTGTGTAACTGTTGATAGATCCAAGTTAAATTTTTCCATTAACTGCCGGATGATCTTAATGGCAGCTCCCACCTCTGGTTGAGAAACTTTTTCTTCTTCTTCTTCCTCATCAGGCTGTGTTTCTGAGTCTTCCTCAGGTGTGGGTGGATCATCGTCACACATTGTTATATGTATTTCAAAACCAGGGCTCTCATTCTCCTCTCCCTAAAGAAAGTACATAATAGGTAAAACCAATTCCTAATTATCAAGTCATGAACTCTTGTAAGATATGGTCTCTCCCACCCAAACTACCCCTCTACCTTTTGCACTCCCATCTTATTGGATTTTTTTCAGTTCCTCTAATATGCTCTGTTCCTTCTCCATTTATCTGTGTTGGATGTGCATGTATATGTATGCGTGTGTATGCATATACATATATACACACACACACATATACATATATGGAGCCCTGGTGGCGCAATGGTTAAGCATTTGGCTGCTAACCAGAAGGTCAGCTATTCAAACCCACCAGCGGCTCCATGGGAGAAAAGACCTGGCAATCTGCTCCCGTAAAGATTAGAGCCTAGGAAATCCTATAGGGTAGTTCTACTCTGTCACATGGGGTCGTTATGAGTCAGAATCAACTCAACAGCACACAGCATGTGTGTGTGTATGTATGTCTGAGAGAATGTAGAGGGAGTGTGTGTGTGTAGGTGTGTGAGGAGGTGCATATGTGTGCATGTATGTGTGGTATTCCAAAAGAATATCAGAAGTTAGATTGAACATGGAAGAATATATGTGTATACACACACACGTGCACAGATGTATGCATTAGATTATTTGTTAAATGTTTAACTTTAATCCTAGATTGCAAATTCCATGCGGGCAGAAATTACATCTATTTTCCTCATCACTGCATCCCCAGTTCCTATCAATGCCTGTAAGTATTCAAAAACCTCCAAGTTATGCTACACATAGGCGCATTACAAAGCACATCATATAAGAGACCTATTTGGGCCAAATCTGAAAACTGTTGTAAGCATTTGACAGTTTATGGAAAAAGAACTAAATGTTAAATAATAAGCAAAAGGCAGATTATGAAAGGCAACAAACCCCTAAGTTCTGCCAATTCTTGCACATTCCTTCACTCACCAATTACAGAAACTTAAATTATTTCCCTCTTTCAGATGGAAACAAACCATTCTTCCTTCTGTTAGTAAGAAAAAGTTAATTCACAGGATCCCTTGACCTGGAGGAAAAATGTACATGTAATTTGGATTTTTAAAAATTATCATCATTATTTTGTGGCTTCTTGCCTTTAAAAACAAAACAAAAACTATTGCCTTTGAGTCAATTCCGGCTCATAGTGACCCTACAGGACAGAGTAGAACTGCCCCATAGGGTTTCCAAGGAGTGGCTGGTGGATTTGAACTGCCGACCTTTTGGTTAGCAGCTGTAGCTCTTAACCACTGTGCTGCCAACAGAGTATTAGTAGCTAGATTGAATATGGAAGAGCTAAAACATTCCAAGAGCTCTAAGCACAAAAAAAGCTAAACTTGCTTGATAAAAAATTACTACAAACTTTTAAAAAAATTAATTTATGTTCCTGAAAACCATAAAACATTTTTAAAGATAAATCCACAGTCTAGCATTTAAAGACTTATACTGAGATCAAAGTAGTACTCAACGTGGGGTGCTTTATACTGTTTAAATATAACCGTCCCTATTCTCTCCAATTTTTCTCCCTCCCCACCTTCTTAAACTGGCCTTTCAAAAACTAAGTTTCATGCCTTGGGCCAGATCAATCCCACTTTCCATTTTCCTCCTCCATCTTGACTTCCCTTTTACTTTTCTGGGCCTCCAGTGTATGAAAAGGGTAGATGGGATGATCACTTTCAAAGGAGAAGAATGGAGGCAGGGAAAAATATCATGAGTAAGTCCAGTTAACATACCACAACCTCCTCAAACTCCCTGGTGGCTTCTATAAGCATCTTTTTGACCGGTTCTTCATTCTCCTTGATCTTTTCCTCTTCAGGTTCTTCTTCAGGCAAGTCTGGAGTTCTCTTATTCTGGGGCTCTATTAAAGAAAAGAACATCATAAATTAGCATTAGCCTCTTTTGCATAAATCAAACATATCGTGCATGCTCTGTGGGCTTTGGGCCAGGAATGAGCCTGCACTTTTTTTTTTCTATTAGAAGACATCTATTTTTTATTCAAAAGGATAAGAAAGGCCTAAGACATGCATATTCAATAATTTCTACTCTTGCTTCTGGAAAGTTGTACTATCCAAATGGTGATAACATTCCTAGACTGTGATCTATAAAATAAAAATACTCTTCAAGCTTAATTTATTTTTTGCTTGTATTTACAGACTTTGCAAATTAACTAAACCACATCATTAAGTTGAGTTCTCTGGGAAGCGACTCTGAGATAGAGATTAACACATACGGTGTTTATTAGCGAGTGCTTTCGGGAAAACAGTTGTAGAAGGGAAGGAAGGAATAGGAAGAGAAGTTAAGCTGTGAAACAGTCCTAATAAGGCCTCAACCGAAATCATGAGGAGCTCTGGACTAGAAAGGCCCTTCAGAGTTATGAAGTGGAGCGAGGGGGCCAATTCTTACCACCCTGCAAAGATCAGTCATTGGATGCTGGCCACCCTAGGAAGGGGGTATGACTTTGGGGAAGGCAGCTCTCTTGAGCAAACCTCAAAGAGAATTGACAACTAAAGGCTGTGTGCTAGCAGCACTCCCAGCAGCTACAGGCAGATCTGTGTAGTGTACCACCACATGTGATCTACAAAAAGGACAGCTTCCTGCCAAATTTAAACACTCTCCTGTTTCCCTTCATTCTTTGTTCTGAGAATTTATCCTGCTCTCTTTTCCAGTTACCAGAAATTGACTACAAAGGAAGAGCTCAAGGGAGGTTTTGTGTTGGAACCGTTCTATACCGACTTTGGCGGCGGTTACACAAATTCATGTGTGTTAAACCTCATATAACTCTACACCCAAAAAAGTCAATTTTACTGTATATAAATTTTAAGTATATAATTTAAAAGAGATGCCTTATCTTTTAGTGGCATGTGTTGGAGTATGTGAAATGATACGATGTCTGGCATTTGCTTCAAAATAATCACAGTCCCAGGGTTACAAACTTTTTCTTAGTCTTCTTGGGAGTGGGTAATAGTTGAAGGTATTGATGAAAACAATTGGCCATGAACTAATAATTAGGTGAAGCTGGGTGATGGGTACACACATAGTGTTCATTATACTTTTCTCTATTTGTATTTGTTTGAAATTTTCTATAGTAAAAAGTAAAAAAATTACAATTCATTCACATAATGGAATACAATGCAATCAATGAGAAAAGACTGAGAGCTACGTGTAGACACACAAATACTTCAAGTTATACTATTAAGTTTAAAAAAAGAGCAAACTGCAGAACCAACTGATATCTATTGTGCTAGCATTACTCCGAGCATAAACGATACATAACAGACAAGGGATGATAATAGTAGTTGGCTCTGGGAGAAGAACCAAGGGACAGCGTAGGTCTTGGGGAGACTTTTCGTTATGTACTCCTTTGTACTCAAGTATAACTGTAGAATAAATTTCTAGGAGCAAAACTGCTATGTCTAAGGGTACATGGATTTTAAATGTTGTTAGATACTGTCAAATTCCCTCCAAAAAAGTTGTGCCAATTTCCTTCTATTAATAACAACGTAGGAGTGTACTTGTTTTCATATACCTCACTAACTTTGGATATTACCCATTTTGTTAATTTTTCACTACCTGATAGCTATAACATGGAATTTCCTTGCTCTGACTTTTAATTAATAACAATATTTTTGCATTTTATTGGCCATTTATTTCCTTTTCTATGCACTCCTTGCTCCATTTTCTTTGCCCCTTTTTCTATTAGTTTTTTTTTTCTTATTTCTGAGAGTTTTATGGACATTAAGGAAACTAACTCTGTGCAATGTATTGAGAATATTTTCCCAGTTTGCCCTGTGACTTTATTTATCACGAGAAGTTTCTAATTTTTATATAATCAAATATACAAAACTTTTTCTTAGTCTTCTTGGTTTTGTGATTATCACCATGCTAATATTTAAAACCCTGGTGGCGTAGTGGTTAAGAGCTACGGCTGCTAACCAAAAGGTCGGCATTTCAAATCCACCAGGCGCTCCTTGGAAACCCTATGGGGCAGTTCTACTCTGTCCTATAAGGTCGCTATGAGTCAGAATCGACTTGCTAGCAACAGGTTTTTTTAATATTTAAAAATATATATTCATCTATATTTCTTAGTCATTTTAGGATTTCAATTTTTACACTTATGTATTTGATCATCTAAATGTTATTTTGATGAGTGAATCCAATTTAATTTTGTTCCTGACCTCACCTCCTAGAATTCTGCCTCTTGTTTACTCCATTCTACGCATAGTGGTCTCTTAATGGCATACTGGTCTCTTTGTTGCTCAAGAACATACTAGCCGCAATCCTATCTCAGGGCCTTTGCACTTGCTGTTCTCCCTGCCTGGAACACTTTCCCAGACATCCCCCTGGCTCACTCTTTTACTTCCTTTGGTCTCTTGTTCAAATACCAGCTTATCAGAGTGGCCTTCCCTTGTCATCCTAGAGAAAACAACTCCCTCCCCAACCCTTACTCTGTTTTACTTTTCTCTACAGCACTCACCACTGACCAGCTAGCACGTTAAGTTCCATGACTGCAGCTACTGTCTTTTATTTAGTGTTATATCTCTGCAAGACAACAATGTCTAGCACTCAAAAATCTGTTGAATCAATGAATCTGAAATGCCACTTTTAATGAAAAACAAAATTCCTACTAATCATACTGAAAAGGAAAAATAAATTTTACCTTCCCAGACTTCAACTACAGTAAGCCCCCGGGTTACAAACGTCCCACTCCTACTCGCCCTTTAATACTATGGTAAGTTTACCCTCACTTTGAAAGGACTGAACCAACCTCTACTCGAAACAAATTCTTCACAATCACCTTCACTTGCTTCACGTGACGTTTTTAAATCACTGAAAAGGCTTTGGGCTTTTTCTTGCACTAAAGTAAGACTAAATAAGAACAGTATGCACCTGTTCCGACTAAACTGCAAATTCGACTTAAAGACACTCTGGAACGGATCTTGTTTGTAACCTCATTGGTGACCGGGGGAATGCCTGTATTACATGGAATATCCACGAGTCAAGAAAAGGGAAGAGGAGGGGAAAGTAAAAATGCCTCTTTAAACAAAGGGGTCTGTCAGTTTAAGTTGTCAGGACTAGTTATATCAAAAATGAAACATCTTAACAGTTCTGCACTGTCCTAACCATACCTGAACCCCAACTTCGAATTCAACTGCGTTAAAAAATTCACATCACCGTCTACTCAAGACTAGAAAGCGACCTTCCAATTGATGAGGACATCCCTATATGAATACGTGAATGCGCATTCAGTTAAGCCAAAGCATGAAAATAAACTGCTCTGGTATGCTCTCCTTTAAAAAGCGTATATCGAATCTACCTGAAAATGTTAAGTCTTTTTTTAAAGAGTCGCTGAAATAACTCTGAAAAAATACGCAAGAAGCCGGGTTACCCTTGTCTCTGGGAAGTTGTTGGGAAGAGTGGAAAATTTTTCTATTGTTCTTGTACCTTTTGAACTTTGAACCGTGTATTCTGTAGCTACTGAAAACGAAAAATTTTTTTTTAAAGGGGGAAAATGGTGGAATTTCACCCGATGTCAGAAGTGGGCGGGGCCGAGGGATGCCACCCAAGATGACAAAATGGGACTCCTCACAGAGAGAAAGAAAGACAACCCCTCCTCTCCAACCGCCCGCCACAGGTGTCAGCAGAGAGCTCACCGCCGCTATCCGCAGCCTCGGGGTCTTCCTCTGCTTTCCGCTTGAGTTTCTGGGAGGATGGGCTCACAGGGGCGTCCCCCAACAGGTACTTATGCTCCTGGCCCCTCAGGTGCTTGAGGTAGCGGTCCTTTAGGGCCTGCCACGAGTGCTGGGTGAGCGCGCTTTTCTCCATCGCTTTCCACAAGGCGTTGCCGGTGACGGAGCTGGGCGAACGAGCATTTTCCTTCACGTAAGTCAAGATGGCCACGTCGTCCGCCTCGGTGAAGGCGATCCGCCCCGTGAGCGGTTCCGGATCGGGCTCCACGGCGGCGGCAGCGCCCTCGGCCTGAGCCCCGGGCTTTGTCTCCGAGGCCTGGTCGGCCGCCGAGCCCAGCCGATAGTCCTCCAGCTCGAGCCGCTCGTTGCGCTCCACGCAGTCCAGGACGTACTGCGTGGAGATGAAGTCGCCTGCGGCCTCGGCCAACGCCTCCCCGGGCTGGGCCAGCAGCACGGCCCCTGGCTCCTGCACCCGGCACAGGGTACCACCGCCGTGCAGGATGAGTGTTGAGAGCCGGCGCTTCGCCGGGCTGGGCCGCACGTAAAAGGATATGGAGCTGCCGTCCTCCCGCACGAACAGAGTGGAAGAGTGGGTGGGCCCGTTGGGGTCTTTGCCCAAATCCATGGCCTCTGCCATAGCTGATGGCCGGTAGAAGCGCAACTTACACAGCGGCCACAGCAATACCGCGGCCGTGAACACCTGCCCAGTAGCGACCGTGCGCCAAGAGTGCCCGCCCTTTTCTCTCCGGAAGAGGCGGGGCTTCCAAACCTGACCCGGAAATAGCCGTATGGCCGTAGTCTCTTTTAGCTCGGGCACTCGGGTAAGATGGCCGCGTTGCAGGAGGTTGAGGTGAAAGTGGACGGCGGCGAGCCGAAACTGAGTAAGAAGTAAGTGTCGCTAGGAGCGTTAAGGCCTTTGCGATCGGAGAGTATGGACTGGGAAGCGCCTCGAAGCTCCCGCTGAGGCGGCTGTGCCCGGGGCCCTCCTTCCGGCTCTCATGGGTACGAACATGCTGGGATGTAGCCGCTATGCCCGGAAACTACATTCCCCCAGGATAGTCGGGGCCACCGCCACCCGGCCTTGTCCTGCCGGATTTCGGCGCTGGCCGGATCTCTCTTGTCGTTGTGTTCTTGGGATGTCATGAAAACTGAGAGGCGACAACGGAGAGAAAAGCGCAGCTTACACCTTTCCTTCCTCTCTTCCTCTGGGAAGGGTGTTATTTACCAATAAGGAGATGAGAAATTTAAAATGTCCAAGCATTTCAGAAAGACTTTCACGTTTTCCTTGGCCTCATTCTTTCAGAACCTGTGTATTAAAGGGATCGGTTCTAAAACTCGTGCACCTACCCACGTGGGTTATTCAAAGGATTTGCGAGTATTGAGTGACCAATGTCTTGTTGTTGCCGTCCAGTCGATTCCAATTCATGGCGCCCCTATAGGACATTGTCTTATTCAGCTAGGTACACCAAGCTGCACTTAGCTGTACTGGGTTTGTCTTTGTTAAGCATCCCAAGTCCTTGGAGTATGAAGGTAGACAAATCAAGATTAACCGGCTTTAACGGCAGGCTGTGGTTTATGTTCTCTAAAGACTACCCTCCTCCTCAACTGGGGTTCCTCATTGGAACCACAGAACACAGGCAATGATTTGAGTAACTGTCTTCTCAGTGCTCCCAAAAATAACTGGTAGCATTCTAGAGGCATAGGAGAGAAGTTAATTTATTACATGCTGTGGCTCCATAAGGGCATAATTCACTTGCTAAACCCTGATAACAGTGTTGCTCTAGGCACTCAACGTATAGAAATGGATAAGTTTGTGTCTCTGAGTTTATGCTTCAAATACACTAGAAAAATGAAATGTCTAAATTTATGGTTTGATAGCACCCTAATATTGTGTCCTTCCTGAGAGTGATCTGATGGTTCTCCCTACATATCTGGAACCTCATCTTGGACTTCGACATTAGGAGAAATTGACTGGACCTTCATCTGATGCATCAGTAGTTGAATTTTAGGGCTGTGGATCACAGATGTCTTGTTAGCAAAGTTTCCAGTGGAGAGTGGTATTTCAAGGTAAATTGAAGAAACTGGTCAACAGTCCCCTTCTGCTGATTTTTCTTAGAGTGATTACAGCTACCACTTTTTTTGAGTAGCTTTTATGTGCCAGGCAGCATGCTAGAACTATATAAGGTTTCTACCTAATCTAAATAATAACCTTGCTAGGAAAGTGTTAATGTCCCTTTTTCAAATTAATAAACTGAAGCCCTGGGTGATTAAATACACTGCTGAAGTGTACATAGCTAAAGCTGTTCTAGCACTGATCCAAAGCGCTGGAGATCTAAAACTCAAGTCCTTAGCTCCACAACCCATGGAATTATAGTGACTACACTGTACTGCATTGCATTGTCTAAAAGAGTCTGCTGTTGATATTGACTTCCTCTAATGACTATGAGGTAATTTTTTTAAATTAGCATTTCCTTCTATTCATAACTGTTCTCAGAACTTCCTTAGTATGAAAACTTTAGTGAGCACCATTTTATGCCAGGTTTTTTCCCCAGTTTAAAAAGAGATGGGCTGCCTGCCCAGGTGACTTCAGTCCCAACTGAAAGGTCCTCATCTGATTTGTTTGAACACAGTAAAGAGTATAATCCCTGAAATCTTTTTGCCTTCCAGCATTGATAATGAATGAACATAATCTAGTCTTAGACCCTTTCTGAAATTATCCTTTCCCCCTTGTTCCTAGAGTTCCAGACAAGTCTTACGTTTGACTTAGAGGTGCTTTTGTGTGGCTGCTTTTAGGTTAATCTGGATTTTACAGTTGATAGTGACATTTTCCTCTCATTTTATATGGTTCCCATTGCCATCTCTGCTGCCAGGTATTTCACTTCCAGGAGAGAAACCACACTTCATGGGCTTCAGAAACACCATCACATCCTGGCTCCCATTTTCTACAATATTGCAATCAGTGTGATCATTTCTCCTTGTAAACTATTGATTGATTTACTTGCTATTGACTTTTAACCCCAAATATACAGCTTTTATACACAGCCAGGACTGAAAAAAAAGTTATAGTGTTCAGCACAACGTTACAGTGTTACTGTCAGTAACCTGTTGCCATAGATTGTGATTCCGACTTATAGGGACGCTATAGGACAGGGTAGAACTGCCCCATAGGGTTTCCAAGGAGCGACTGGTGGATTCGAACTGTCGACCTTTTGGTTAGCAGCTGAGCTCTTAACCACTGTGCCACCAGGACTCCTGCTGTCAGTTAAGAAGGTCTTAAGTTGAATGGACACTCAAAGATAATGCAAAACACTCCACCCCACCCCAGTAAGAGCAGAAGAGTGCCACTGGTTGGGTCTGTGTGTACTGTCTGTCCCATCTGACACCTCATCTCTGTGTTTCCTGTTAGGTGGTGGTAATCATTAGTTCCAGGGTATTCTGCCATGTTGACGCAAGCTGCTGTAAGGCTTGTTAGGGGGTCCCTGCGCCAAACCTCCTGGGCACAGTGGGGTCAGAGGGAGCTGCGACTGGGTCAACTTGCTCCTTTCACAGTGCTTCACAAGGACAAGCCACTTTCTGATAAAAGAAGGTTGGTGCCAGTTACCCTCTTTATTGCTCTGGAAGGAAAGCCCCTGGCTAAATCTTTGGACTTGCTGCTAAGGAAACAAAGAGCCTTGCTACCAATACCAATAGTCTTCTAATTTTCTCTTAATTCAAATTCTCCTTAAATTTTTGGCATTGCTTGTGGATCTTATTCTAGATAAGTGCTGAGAACAGAACTTCTGTATGAATAGAGAATTTCTAATGAGGGTTATTTTCCCTTTCCTGTCTTTCTTGAGATTAATTTGGTTTCTCGTTTTAGTGCTATCCCTAGCACCTTTTTGGGTTATATTTAGATTGATTTGATTAAAGAGCAACACCTAGTTGAATGGAAATAGGTTTATCATCTTAATCCTAGGAAGAACTTGATAGCCTTAGATGGCCATTGACTGAATTACCACGTTATAGATCTAGTACACTGTTCTGGGAAGGTTGTCCTCACAACTATTAAAGACAGATCCTATTCAGAAGGAGTCACCTACTTTGAAGCCATCAGAATCAGTTTTTACTTAAAAGATGATTGCTTCAAACCCCCAATTAAGTTTTTTTTTTTTAATCGGGTTATTCTAAACTTATACTGAAAATGAAGGATGTGCCCTGAAGCCAGACAAAGTACAAGTATGACTCAGGATCACTTGCCATGGTTCACCGTTTCAGAATATTTAATGATCATTGGGGGCTTGAAAAAATGATCAATTAATTCTCTTCCAATAATGAGGTTATCCGTCTCTAAGTCTTGTTTGGTTCCTGGTTTCAGATAGCAAGTTCAGGTCATTTGGGATACCAAGTTATCCAAATTGCTTTGGTTTTTGAGTTAAAGATAGCAAGTATCAAAAGTTTGAATAGTGAGGCATGTAACCAGAAATTTATCCAAACTTGTATGATTCCTGTTCTGGGTGCAGAGAATGAAGAGTTCTGATAGTGAGGGATCCCAGAATAGCTGACATTTGAGTACTTACTAAATGCTAGGGGCAGGGCCACCTGTTTATGTACATTAGTACATTATCCCAGTTTTCCCAATAATGATGGGGCGGGGCGGAGGTGTCTATTATTTCTGTTTTACAGATGAGGAATCCAAGGCTGAGAGGAGTTATTTGCCCAAGGTCACATAATTGTAGGTGGATGTGCGAGACTTTAGTCCCAGGAATTCTGACTCTGCAGGTTTATTATCCTCTATGCTACACTGCTTTGTACACCGTTTTACCCAGTTTGTTGCCAAAGCCAGACTTAGATGAGTAAAGCGAGACAAAGCTGAGGGCCACTCTTGGAGAGATTGTCAGTGGGGCCCCTCTGGACTAACTCATTCCTTGGGGTGGGGGTCGGGTAGCAGACATAGCTGGAGATGTTGCCATATCAAACATCTGATCTAGTGCTCTAGGAACTTCATACTCTCCAGGGGATACCAAATGACTAATAATTCAGTCCCTGTTCTGAAGGAGCACCCAGTCTAATTAGCTTGAGAGAAGTCTATCCTGCTGATTTTCTAGAAAACCTTTTTTTTTCCTATTTGAAATATAAGTTAACATGTAGGATTTTCTTTTTCCTTTTGCATCCTGGTTTTAGTTGGGGCCCAATGCCAAGGACCTGAGACTAGAAAGCAGAGCCTGAAAAAGATCTTTTGCATCTTTGTTCAAATCCTATTTTTTGCTTTGTTTCTTTCACATACAGTGTTTAATGACTAAGATAACTAGAGGTGAGGTGTGAACTTGAGGGTATAGAACTAAGCAAGAGCATGTCTCCCAGGCATTTCATATTTTTAGTAAGTGGTTATGGGGCAAAACAGAGGACTCTTCCAGCAACTATCACATTAAACATTCTCATCTTGCCTACAGTGAGCTAAAGAGACGCCTAAAAGCTGAGAAGAAAGTAGCAGAGAAGGAGGCCAAGCACAAGGAGCTCAATGAGAAACAGCTAAGCCAGGCCGTTACTGCGACCACCAACCACACCACTGACAATGGTGTGAGCACTGAGGAGGAAAGCCTGGACCCAAATGTGAGTCCCCTTGGTCACCGGTCTGCCGGGGCACAGGGAGGCTTCTGAGGAGGCTTATGGGGAATTCCTTGGGACCAAACAGTAGGAAGAACCAGTGACTAGTTAGCTAAATAGGGACTAGAATAGGCACTTCTGGGCCCTGGGTGACTGCCACTCCATCTGGTTAAAAGCACAGGCCCTGAGC